TATGGACAAAGAAAAAGTCAACAATGCAAAACGGTTCAAAGGCAACTGTTATACCTGCGGGAAGCCGGGACATCGGGCTAAAGTTTAGGGATCTATAGACCAGAAAAATTGATTGGGATCCAGGTGCTTTATGTTTGTAAGTTCGAGGACTGTAGCAACAAATATCCCAATAATTATTATACATGGAAAGAAGAAATCCCGATAAAATGTAAACTTATCTTGCCTTGATGGCTTTGGCATCCTTGATTCTCTTTGCCCATTTGTTGCCCATCGGATCTTCTTCTTTCTTCTTTTTGGATTTCTTCTTTTTGGACGCCTTACCCAAATAGAAGAACATGCCTATGCCTATGCCAATGCCAATGCCAACAGCGAAGGTTGCAAAAGTCGCCCCAACAATGGCTGAAATAATAATTTTCTTTGAAGAATCTCGACAAGGAGGCAAAGGATTGCCACATAGTCCTGAATTATTCGCATAGCTACTATCTGGAGGAAAAGTAGCATTTCTAAATTGTGGAACTTGGCCGGTCAATCTATTGTTTGCCACGCTAAATTCCATCAATCGATTGAGTTGACTAATCTGAGCAGGGATTTGGCCTGACAATTGGTTACTATCAAGTTTAATGACATTCAAATAATTGCAATTCGCAAGATCCACAGGGATCTCTCCGGATAACTGATTGGATGAGAGATCAAGGCTTGTCATATATCCAAGTATCCTAGAGATATTATTCGGAATTTTTCCATAAATCTCGTTATAAGAAAGATCTAAGCCAGTCAAGGATGAACAACCTGCAACACCAAGAGGAAACTCGCCCTTAAGTCCAATGCCACTTAGCCGGAGATTCAAGACACTGTTCTCGTCTGGCTTCCAGCAACCAACCCCATAAAACTCACAAATAAAGCCTTCAGTATTGTTATTGAAATTCCAAGAAGATTTCAGGTAATTAGAAGGGTCTTCCAAAGAATTTTTTATAGCTCGGAGGCAATCAACATCACTCTGAGCAGAGTAGGTAAAGGACGCCCTCTCAAGCAACAGAAATAAAATGCTTATAAGAGTTGAGAAAACCCGAAAATCCCACGTCATCCTCACAGAAAAAGCAGCCATAACCTCAAGAAATGAGTCTACAAACCTGAAACAAATTCAACTTTCAACACGAACAGATTTAAAACTCAACAAAACATTCTAAAAGCTTACAGCAGAGTAAACAAGAAAATTAGAAATGAATGTAATGACCAACATTATTTTACATGGCAAACTGTCATGTTAAGTTAAAAGAAATCCCATAAATACCACCAAATCCTCATTTCATTGCCACAACCGATGTAATCTCTCAGAAATTCTCAAAGTCTCTCAATTTAACTCTCTTAATTCTATTACTAATTTTATTTTTTGTTATGTTATTTATAACATATTGTTTAAATTTGTTACACAATAACTCAAGGAAAATTCAAAAATCAAGAAGCCCTTATTGTGACTTCCACAATAACTCAAGGAAAAAAAAAAAAAAAAAGAACCACATATCTTTTTTAAAGACAACGAAGCCCACCAGCAGAATTATGCGAAGTATAAACGATAAAGAACTCAGAAATACACGCGTACATACAGATATGCTCATATGGAAACAACAATAAAAAGAAAAAGGCCTAACAAGAAAGGGAATAAGAAAAGATAATACCAGGGAGTGTTAAATGTGAATGCTTGGATATTGATGTCCAGTGGGAGCTTGGGAGGAGACCGGGAGACTATAAATGGGATTCCAAACAAACAATAGATGAGGGCAGTGTAGAATGGGCAAACGACCAAAGAGCTTGACTTTGCACATTTTGTTACTTACTAGTCATTGAACGTGCAATAGACGTTATTTACAAATTTCCAAACATGCACTATAAAAATAATATTTAAAAATATGAGAATATAAAATCTTTAAGATCATTACTTTTGTCGTGTGATTTAAGCTCTGTTCGTGCCCATTATTTAAAAATTTATTTTTTCTCCAAGTTTTTTCTCTACTTTTGTCGCGTGATTTTTTGTTTCTTTTTTTTTTTTAAAGTTTAATTCAAAGTTACAATTTTACCCCTGTTACAATTGGTCAAAGTCAAGTTATTGGGTAAACTAACGGTCAAACTAACAAAAACCATCCATTTGAACTCCAAGTACGAGTTTTTCAAAGGCTTGGTACTCACGAAGGCACAAACTAAAGATTTGGACAAAGTCTGCTAATAAACGAAAGATTTGGTACCACTGCTACAATTTTCGCTAAATTGTATTTGTATCCTTAATCAATTGTTTTTTGGTAATAGATACTTAACTTTTATTTTCGGCGTGTTTTTCATCAAACCTCATGGCTTCCCATAATAGCCAATTGAGGTTAAAAAGTCAACTTAACAAAATAATAATCAAATTGAAGTCCGATGGAGGTACTGAATATAATTAGAGAAGATAAGTCATTATATAATGCTAATTATAGGTTGAGGATGTCTATCCGTGGGAACTTACAAGCACTAGAAATGAATGTTTAAAGATTTAAACATCAATAAGATCTAATAAAGTGTTTGGGTGCCAAATTAGGCAGATTAAGTTTGGATATCACGTATGCAAATTTTAAATCATATGTGCCACACGTTTTTCACAACATGAAATTACCGCACGTGTACGGTGTCAAGTTCTATAATATAGTATAGAAGTTAAGAGTGTCGAACCCACAGGAATCGTAATTTAGCCCTCGTTTGGCCACCATTAAATCTCATCAAATTAAATTAAAATTTTCTCTCTCCTATTTTCAACCACATAATTTTTAATAAAATAATATTACACGTAAATCGAAAAATTTTCATTCTTTTACAACCATCCATTTTTCAAAAAAAATACTATTCCCTTCATTATAATAAAAAATAATGGGGGCCAAACGGGGGCTTAATTCTCACTAAGTACTATAATTGTGAAATTTCTACTTTATTCAGATGAATGGATGGATTTTTTAAACTAATGTAATGTGATTCGTTGGGACAAAATTGATGAATGTAAATTATCAATATGAAAAGGCCTAGGGATTAATTTCACCTTACTCTCAATTATGATTCAACGATTTCCAATTGTTCAAATTAATTTTTTCATATTTAAAAGCAAGAATCCTAATATCTCCCTTCTCTCGAGTTTCGGATAGAAATTAATCTAGATTCTAATTCCAATATCTCTATTCCGAGTTGAAAATCAAGAATTTATATAAGTCCCAATTCTTTAATGGAGTAAGTTTCACAGATTTTATACTTTCTCTCGAAACCCATAAAGCCTATGTTGTTGTGTCAGTCTTATGATCACTTCTAAATTTCCCTCTCTCGAGTGTCGGAATTGATTAGCATCTATTTATTCAATTATTGATCAGGTAATTGAAAGCATTAAATCATGACACAATTAAATATATGCAGGAAAATCAAAAGCAATAATTATAAAATCATCAAACCATAAAATCAAGTTCGGCTACATCAAACCCTAGATAAATTATTTAGTTCATGATATGGAACATGAAATTCATACAATTCATAATAAATAACATAATGAAAAGGATAAAAAAAAAAAAAAAAAAAAAAAAAAAAAAAAAACCTAGTCTTTTGGGAAGTCTTTAATCTTCTTCCTTGATGTTTTTTTTGCCTCCTTTTGGTGTCTTCAAATTTTGCCTTCTTGAAGTTGTGTGGTTGAATTATTCAATCTTGCCCCCTTCAATTGTTTGAGAAAAATAGGTTTAAGAAAGGAAGAAAATATCGTAGAACGTGTTTCATACCACATGTGCGCTTTAATGACCGATGAGAAGTGAAAGAATTGATCCCTAATTCTTCATTGTATGAGTCTCTGAGACACATATTACCTCACTTATATACCCTTATGACTTTTGATTATTTCTCAAAATTTTATTTCGATGTTGCTACTTTAATATGTTGCCAATAACTATGGTTGATTCGATTTGATGGAACATGTTTAGGAAAGCAGCTGACTTACAATGAAGGGAATCAAGTAGAGAAAGAAGACTATTTTATCTAACACAGTTTGTGTTCATCGATTGGACAATTGTGTTAGCTATTTGAATTTTGAGACACAATTGTGAATACATTATAAATAAGAAAGTTGAGTATGTTCTAAAATAATTTGAGGGGTCAAAATTAATACTCAATTTGGTGTTACAAAATATATTTAGGGTATAGCAAAAAAATATATTTCCTTTTCTTGAGCTGCAATATATCCCTAATAGATGTATAGTGTTGAATGCTCTTAAATTAACTCGTTAACCGCCCGATTCATTTACCTCTATGAACTTAGAGCAGTTGAGATAAATATAATTAATATTATATTAGAATCAGGTCACATCATGTGCGGTGAATGATGTTGGAAGAAAATGGATCGTCCATGTAGGTTGAGCCGACCTGAATTATATGAGAATGTTATTGGAGGGAGAAGTCGATGAAGTTGAGAAAATTAAATTTAAAACTCAACATCCCACAATAACTCCCATTCATAACTTCCACATCAAAGAATATGAAAATAAAATACAAAATTCTTATGAAAAAAAAAAGGAAAGAAAAAGCCTTGAGGGTGTGGCTTGATTTTGGAAAGTATATCATCTCAAATTGGGTTCTTGGATTGTGGCTATCAAATTCTTTCCTTTGTGATCGAATTTCCAACCAAGGAGTGAGTATAAAATAGTGCAAAAGAGAAGTGAACAAAAGGCAAGTGATTCAACCTTCTTTTGATGATTTCATGTAAGTTTTATAATTTGAATTTTTGTTAGAAACATGCAAACACGTTTTACACAAACAATAATAAAGCTATTTCAGCACATAAAATAATACTCCAGATTAGAACTCTACATATACTATATTTCTAGTTGGGATAAAGATGTAGGAATTGGTTCAAATAATTATCCAAGTGGAAAATGAAAAGGTGTGACTATGTGTCAACTTCGACCAAATATTCGAATTTCATCCGATGGTAAAATTACAAAAGTAAATAGATCAACTTATTCTGCTCGTCGAGTAGATCGTCATGGTATATTTGAAATCTCGAAACCAATTCCAGATGAATAAAAAATTGCGGACCAAAGTTGGAAAAAATGAAGTGTTGCAACTTTTCAAAAGGATATAGGTTTTGGTCAAGTGTTGCAACTTTTTGAAAAGATGCATGTTTTAGCTCACACTACTTCATTTGCACCCTTTCTACATCTATAAATAGAACCCTGTAGACATGATTTTGGGTACACCAATTGCATTGAGTATTCATTCTCCTCTTGCAATTCTCTCCTTTCTAATTTCATAGCATTTTCATGCATTTCCTTGATAGAGAGAGAATTTCGTTCGAGTTCACAGGGCGAAGTCATTTGGAGTGCTCATATGGCTTGACGTGGTCATTGTATCTTGGGAGATGATTGTTGAAAAATCGTTAGCACCGATGCGAGGCAAATTCATCTTAAGAACCAAGTGTCAAACACTTACCTCGATCAAAAATTCATCACTTGCATCTTTCTTCCTTCATTTTCTGATTTCTCTTAATTATAATTTGATTTCAAAAACTGATTAACATTATTTATATGTTTGTTCTGTGAGGTTTGATTCAAAAGAATAACTTGCTTTCGTTCAAGAATCGAAAAAGATGAATCCATATTCATGCATTCGAATTCGGTAACTATTATTATTTTACTTCTCAAATTCTATTTTGGTAAGTTGAAATTACGTTTCGATTTCACGCAAATAAACGGTATGTTTTTATGAATATAATATGTACATAATCGGTGTATTCCCTAACAATCTTAAGATGAATTTTCTTATGCATATTATATTTTATTTGCAATCAAAATCAAGATACTACATGAATAAAATCATAAGACAGAATTTTGACTTATCATAATTCTGGTAAATGTTCTATCACAACAGTTTAACTAGAGAAATTCATGTGTAATGAATCTGTATATTATAACAAAATCGATAGTGATTCTATAACTTAGAATCATTCATTTATATGTTGAATTCATTACAATATATTTCAAGTTGATTTGTGGACAAACAATCTGATATTATTCAATCCTGCATGATATAATGCAGATTCTGGTTTTGACCCATTAGAAGAAATTCTAATATTCAGAGATCAAAGTGGAAAATCTCAAATTGATGCACCATATTATATGATAATTAGTTGTGAAATTCATAATACATATGATATTCATGAACCGGTGCATACGTGTTTGTATATTGTATTTGTTGGTAGTCTCATCTATAAGTTTTATTTGTTGGCACTCTTTTAATCTAAAGTGTATCTATATTAAAAGATAATTTGTGTCAGGAATTTTGATTGGAAAGGTTGGTAAAATCTTGTTAACTATTTGTAAACAAATAGTATGCATGCTATATGGAAAAATGTATCTTTCCAAATTAAAAACATTTTTTAATTTCTAAAATGGTGTGACCCGTTTGAATTGTGTAGCATGAAATATCTATCCAGATAGTATATAAATGTAAAATGATTTGTAAAGTCAAATTGCACTTGGACATTGTGAATTTTATATGCTAACCATTGCGTTCCTTTATATTTAAACTGCATCAATTCAAAGTTATCAAGAAATAAATTTACTAAACCTGCGAAAGATGCATGTTAGGATAATTTTAATTGTTCAAAACATGTTGGCTTTGACTTTTTCAAAATCTAGTAATGCTGAAATTTATAGTTTGTGCAGAATTCCTTACTTTTAGTTTATACGTATATCATCCAAATAATTTTTGTTCTCTTCCTATGGCAAATCATTATGTGTTTGAATATATTACTTGCATGAGAAGGCATATATTAACTGATAAATATGCCCATAACGGTAATGTCATGAGTATGCATTTATTTTAAGTATGCAACTTTGTTGGGTATCTATATGATAATCATGTGAAGCGGATTAGTGTATTCATTTGATGAATCCATACAAGCGTTTGGATTTTGGATAGACCTTTTTGGTTAAAATTGTCTAGTTGGTTAAATTTTCATATCTTGTTGAAATTATACTAACTTTGATTAATGTTGATAGCCTCATTTAATCCTATGGAATTAAGTGAGATGATTTAAGTGGATATAATTATTTAGTTATGAGAACTAAGCCACTTAATTATTTGAAATATTCTACGATCAATTTAGATGAAAATGTGCGTCCTTTCATAAGAATAATCATGACTTTTGGCATGATTATTTTTCAATGGTTGTGTCTCTTCATAAAGATTAATTCAAGAGATGTGTCCTTTTGTAGGTTTGTGCCTCTTGAAGAACACAACTTTTCAACCTATGGTTGATTCGTTCGTTCAAGTTTGAATATGATGAATAAGGTGAATATGTACCTTATTATTTGACAAAAAATGAAACTATCATGTGAAATGTCATAAATGTCACAAATGTGATAAGTTGCATATCTTGCAATGCTTAACCCTCTTTATTGTTGAATTTAACTTCAATCATGACACCAATTAAGTTGGTATATGTTTTGAAAGCATTGTTGGTCCATATGATGGCCTTGATTTAATTTGGATGATCAAAATTAATTAGATTGACGTATGTTATATGCAAGTTGATGACCACTACTTTGAACGTACATAGACTTTCACGAAACATCCGATACGGATATTATCTAAGAGATAAATGAATAGAACTATAAAAGAGTTGCTGAATTCTAAATTCAAGTATAACCCAAGAATGTGGGGGGTTAAATTTAATACTTTTGAATTTGAAATGGAAAGTTTAAAACTTGTGGATGCAATATTACTAAATTGCATATGTATTCCTAATTGAAGAATTGTGGGCGTAACTCAGTTTAACAGTTACCTTTGCTTATATCTTATAATCACAGAACGATATCTATAAAGGTAGAAAGATAAAAAACACTTATACTAATTATAAGGATGATATATACTAAGTTTAAAGCGGATGAAATGGGTTGTAAGGCTGATTATGGCGTTTGTTTAGACATGCAAGAAAAATTGGTTATATATGAAGAATATTCATAAAGTCCAAATGCATGGTAATGTTTCAATGATGATATTGAATACCCATGATTCTGAAATCCACTAGTAAAAGTGATTGACTAGTGTAGTGTTTGATAGAAATCCTCCAACCGTGTTTGGAAATTGATAAAGCTAATGAGGCATATAGCTTCATGAAAAGATTTCTTGGTTGCGACAATTTGTATCTATCAAATAAATCAATCGTTGGCTAGCTATATTTGATAAGACACTAAGTCACATGTAATGGTAGATCTAGACGTATAAATCATAGACATAATAACATTAAGCAGTTGATCTCAATGATGTAAACTTGTGGTACCTTTAAAAGAGATTTACAAAGAGATATCAAGAAGAATGCATATCGAAGGGAATGGGATTGAAGCCTACTACGTTAGAGTCCTTCTAATGGTAATCATACCTTGTTAACTGGAGATCCCAAGATCTTGGTTCAAAGGGACAACTAAGTTATGAGGATTCCATGAAGCACTTAGCAAAATAATTTCCTAACTCATTCCTATGATATTAAAGTGTTTTCTATAGAGTTGCAAGACGTTAAGATAATTTTTTAATGATTCTTATATCTTGATTAAGTCAAGTGGAGTAGGGCGGAATACTCTTAATAGGAGGTCACCTATGTGAATGTGAAGTGTGGCTGCTTTAATGAGAATTATTCAAGGCTTAAATTCTCTAAACACTCGTAGAACCAAGAAGGGTTCAGGGTCAAAATGAACCAAGTCGTGAAAACCATGAATGGTTTAGGGAAGACATTGTGTGAGTATCATTGTCTTGACTTACACTAAAGGCTGAATGGTTTAAGACATCACGTTCACCAATTAGCCCAGCAAGTCCAATGGTATTTCACTAAGGGAGGTTCAAAGCCATAAGCTACCTTCCCTGATGCAGTGTTTTTTTTGCACCCTCTCTACATTATATCATATCATTGCATTTGCATATGCTTACCCAATTTCCATTCATGTGAGGGATTGTAGGAATTGGTTCAAATAATTAACCGAAAATTGGAAAATGAAAAGGTGTGTAAAAGTGGAAAATGAAAAGGTGTGACTACGTGTCGATTTCGACCAAATATTCGGATTTGATCCAATGATCAAATTAAAAAAGTAAATAGATCAGCTTATTCTAATCGTCGAGTAGATCATCGTGGTATATTTGAAATCTCGAAACCAATTCCGGATGAATAAGAAATTGCGGACCAAAGTTGGAAGAAATGAAGTGTTACAATTTTTCGAAAGGATGCAGGTTTTGGCCAAATGTTGCAACTTTTTGAAAGGATGCATGTTTTAACCCACACTACTTCATTTGTACCATTTCTACATCTATAAATAAAACCCTATGGACATGGTTTTGGATACACCAACTGCATTGATCATTCATTCTCCTCTTGCAATTCTCTCATTTCTAATTCCATAGCATTTTCATGCATTTCCTTGGTAGAGAGGGAATTCCGTTCGAGTTCGCTGGTCGAAGCCATTTGGAGTGCTCCTATGGCTTGACGTGGTCGTTGTATCTTGGGGAATGATTGTCGAAAAATTGTTAGCACCGATGCGGGGCAAATTCATCTTAAGGACAAGTGTCAAACACTTGCCTCGATCAAAAATTCATCACTTGCATATTTCTTCCTTCATGATTTCTCTTAATTATGATTTGATTTTAGAAACTGATTAACATTATTTACATGTTTGTTCTGCGAGGTTTGATTCAAAGAATAACTTGCTTTCGTTCAAGAATCGAAAAAGATGAATCTATATTCATGCATTCGGATTCAGTAACTATTACTATTTTGTTTCTCAAATTCTATTTTGGTAAGTCGAAATTACGTTTCGATTTTACGCAAATAAATGGTATGTTTTTATGAATATAATATGCATATAATCGGTGTATTCCCCAACAGAAGATACAAAATAAACACTGCAATAATCCAAACATAAGAGGATGACACAAATCGGATATGTACTATCCAGATTCCTGACTGAACCAAGATATTATCGAAGAGGATTGTTGAGTTTGCTTCTATGGCTCAATAATGAGATATTGCACAGTCAAAGACAAGTAATCGTTTGAGTAGATGACCTTGGAAGACCAACAAAACAGATAATCCTATATGAATTATGATTTCACTCATCGTAATTGTCACTACATCTTTTCGTAGATCTCCATGGATCTCGAGAGACGATAAGTTCGACTAGTTGATCAGCATCACCATGGTCCGATGGCAAGATGTCATCTTCTGTTGGGAAATTATACCGTTGTCCAATAGCTTTCAAAAATTGGTACACTTCAAACATGGTAGGCCTCTCTTTAGGATCTGTCAGCACACAAGTTATTGTGTTTCACATTTGCTAGTCTAGCCATCTTAGATGAAAAATCACAGTTTGAGTATCGAGTACTACGTAATCCCTTCACCATGAAGCAGGTGCTATCTTCAAGTTCAGCCTTGTACATTGTCCCTATTCTTCCAAACCCAAATATATTCTCTTTACCGTAGTCATTAGTCGCCTTCATGAGATCACTCGATTTAATTTCAGAAGCTGAGTTCTCAAACATCGAATGCTGGAATCAAGAAATATGACTATTTGTAATTCCTTGTAAGGAAAATATAATTATGAGAAGAAAGAATTCATCTAAAGCGACACCAAAATTATGAATTCGGCAAAATAATTTTGGGAATTATGAAACCACGGTCCTTAAATTTTGACAAATACAGCACACCGATCCCTAATGTAATTTATAATTTTTGTCGTTAAGGTTTGTGCACATTGGTCAACAGAAGGAAACTGTCAATCATTCCATCACATAGTCATCTACTTTGCTCACGATAACATGCTTAAGGGTTATTTTTGTCAACCCATTCCCTTTCTCTCAAACAGTTAAAAAGGGAAAATAGAGTGCTCACATTTGGCCATTGTCTTCTCCCATTTCATTGTTATTGAGGGAATGGAGGTTGTTGGCTAAAATAACACTCAAATAAGCAAGAATGTGACTGCTTGACAGGGGAAAAAAGTCATTTTCCATCATGTAGGGACCAATGTACACCGAATATGAAAGTTTAGGGATCTATAGACCGGAAAAATTGATTGGGACCCACGTGCTTTATTTTTGTAAGTTTGAGTACTGTTGCAACAAGCATCCCAATAATTATTATATGCAGAGAGAGGAAACCCCAATAAAATGTAAATGTATCTTGCCTTAATGGCTTTGGCATCCTTGATACTCTTTGCCCATTTGTTGCCCAGATTAGGATCTTCTTCTTCCTTCTTTCTGAGCGCCTTGTGCAAATAGAAAAACATGCCTATGCAAATGCCAATTCCAACAAGAGCTGCAAAAGTCACCCCAACAATTGCTGCACTATTAGTTTTCTTTGAAGAATCTCAGCAAGGAGGCAAAGGTTTGCCACACAGTCTTGCATTATTGGCATAGCTATCAGGCAAAATAGTAGCATTACTACTGAATTGTGGAACTTGGTCGGTCAATTTGTTGTTTGCCAAGCTAAATTCCTTCAACAGATTGAGTTGACTAATCTTAGCAGGGATTTGGCCCGACAACTGATTGTTGTTAAGTTTTAGAACATTCAAATAAGTGCAATTTGCAAGATTCAGAGGGATCTTTCCAGATAACTGGTTGGACGAGAGATCAAGACTTGTCAAAAATCCAAGTATGTTAGAGATATTATTCGGAATATTTCCATAAATCGTGTTATTAGAAAGATCTAAGCTAGTTAAGGATGAACAACCAGCAACACCAAGAGGAAACCGCCCCTCAAGTTCCATATTCCCAAGCCTAATACTCAAGACCCTGTTCTCGTCCGGATGCCAACAATCGATTCCAGTAAAGTTACATATAAAACCTTCAGTCTTGTTATCGAAGTTCCAAGTTGTGAGGTAAGCATTTGGGTCTCCCAAAGAATCTTTTGTAGCTTCGAGGCATTCAACATCACTTTCAGATGAGTAGGTAAAAGATCCTCTCACAATCAACTGAAGAAAAAATTTCACGAGAGTCAAGAGAACTCTAAAATCGAATGTCTTCCTCGTGAAAAAACCAGCCATAACCCACAAGAACCTGAGTATATAAATCTGAAACAAATTCAAATTTGAACAGGAAAAAAAATGAAATTAACACAACATCCTAAAGGAAACAAGTTAAATTAGAAAATGAATGTAATGATTAAATCCAATTTCATACTTGTTATTGTTTCAATAGAGTAGATTTAGCCATTTTCTGTAAAAAAAAAAATTAAAATTAAAATTTTAATTTAAGTCAAATCAACAATTAATTTTATTTATATATTTCATGGACTTTACAATTTTTCGACCACACATTTCATTAATTTCTATCAAAATCTGCTAAAGATTTTATTTTAATTCCCGCCAAAAGAGGGACTTAATATTGTATGATGTTATGGTGCGTTTGATTGCTAATATTTTCTATCCAAATTTTTATTTTTGTGCTATTTGATTGTCAATTTTTTTCATGGAAATTATTTTCCTACTTTTAGTCACGTAATCATATTTTCCTCAAAATCAAGAAAAATATTTTTTTAGGGGAAATATAATTTTATTTTTCAGGGAATTCACTCTCTCTTTCTCTCTCTCTTCTATCCACACTCTCTCATCTAACCACCAATAAAAAAGGACAAATATAACGTTTTTTGGGTTGAAAATTAAATTAATCAAACACATTTAATTGACAATTTTCATGCAAATAAATTTTAGGCAATTGAATTACCTAAAATTTATTTTATTTCCATACAAATTCTATGCTTGCAATCAAACGCAACCTTAGTTTATTTTTTAAGCGTTTAATTTGTTTGATAATACCATAATTCTCAAAAATGAGTCTGATTTTGATGTACAATCTCGGAGTTCAGAGGCTCATACTTTAGGAGATGATGCCTATGATAGTGTAACATCATCTAGAATGGGGAAAAGTATTTGGGGGTAAATCCAAGAGTTACTGGGTTATATTTTCCATAGAAGACTAAAAATTAGATTTTGTAAATTTTTAAAAAAGTTGATTAAATATGTGATTGAATAGTTTATAAAATTGTTGTGGCATATAAAATGTACGGTTACAAATAATTGTTGAATTTAAATAGACTTTTATCTATATTTTTAACTAAACAAAACAGGGACTATTATTGATTCATAAATTTTTATTAGAACTTTTAATTGAAATAAAGGTGGTATCACATTCATTTGAAGGTCACCGTGATAATTGGTTAACTGGCGGTCATACAAATGTCTCACAAGTTCAACTTTCATCCATGAGACCTAATGGTGGCGAAACACTTCAATCGATGTCTTTATCTTATCCTCTTGGGTATTCGATGGCAGCGAAAGTTAGCATTCATCACATTTGCATGTTGAGGAGAGACAAAACATGTGTAGCATTGCCCTAGCTTAAATACTTTCATTGCTAGAGATGGAAATGCAATCGCTAGCTGAAAGGCTACCGAAGGTTACAAAACTAAAGTAAGAACCAGAATGTACAAGTTTTAGTGTAAATAATGTTCCTTATTTAGTTAGGAATTAACATGGTAATTGTTACGTCTCATCTGATGAAGCTCGAGAGGATCCTACGTGGCAGATAAACCTAAGCCTGCACCTCACGTTCCGCCCAAGAGGCAGTTTGGCCGAACCCCTATGAAGAGATCAAACCCATATGGAAAGTCGAACCCATTCGACTAAGTCAACCTCATATAAAGAACTGAACCCTCATGATAGGATGAGGCTGCAAAGGGCCTAGTAGGAGATCTTTTATGTAATCCTTAGTATGTGATTGATGTCACAATTCACTGCTACCACCGTCCTATCCAGCGAATCAGGTTAAGTCTAAGCCATGTATCGGATTTAAATGTAACAAAATGGTAATAGCATTAAATGCTCATGATTGATTGATACATTCGACAAGACATGGATGAGGCCACGTATTCTTCCATCCTAGGGTTAGTATTCATCCTATCCTGCTATAAAAGCTTACACACTGTGTCATTCCACAGGCAATTCAAGTTTAAACTTTCGAACTATAATTTTTCTATCATTACTGTTGTTATCACGTATTCTCCCCAAAGTCGACCCCCATTTTACATTGGAGTTAAAGCACATCCCACACTCATATACTTATTACTTCAACTAACTTGACTGTCGAATTGCGCGCGGCCAACTCCACTACCAATGGAGGAAGCCACGTGTAGCTAACGGTTAGTCCTAATGTGCAAGAACCAGGTTTACGTGGATGCGGAAACCCTTGGGATCTATTGGCGTATTTTTAGAGGTCAACAATAATAGGATTAGGGTTTTACCTTAAATAAGATTTGAATATTGTATAAATATGATTAGATAGATGAATCAGCCCATCTGTCAACTCTTAATTTGGCATCAGATCCAATTCTTTCCTTAAACCGGATTGTTTGTCAAGCATTCAATTTTTGTGAGTTATTCGACAGTTATTGTTCATGAGCACTGTTGTCTAATTGTTATTTAATGATCACTAGTTATTATTCACCGTTCACCAATTATTGTTCATACGTATTGTTCACTATGTTACTATTCACATGGGTGTGATTTCTCATTTTGTTGGGCGACCCTCTATAATGGTCGACCGAGGCATAGGTTGCTCCCTAGTGTGGTCCTTGTGCTGTATAAAAGATTTTGGTCCTCCATGGTCTGTATTTTTGGTAGTGTTCAATTTTGTTCATTGTGGTGGCTGAAGCTAGAATCCCTAGTTCGAAAAAATATTTGACTAAAGCAATGGACACCTCTCCATCTTATGCTTCTCATGTATCTTGAGTAGCTCCTCATAGAAGTAATTCTGGCTGAGCTCTTATTTTTGCTACTGCTAGCACTAGAGTTATTGATTTCAAGGCCACTTACCATATGATTAGTAACTCATCCTTAAATCGCTCAAATGCTCACATGTTAAGTTTGTTCAAGTTGCCAATTAGGTTCCTATGCAGAATTTCAGGGGCTGGGAATGTCTTACTCTCTCCCACTCTATCTATAACTTCAATGTCATTTGCACCTACTCTCTTTTTAGCCTTTAATCTATTAACAAAATCACTCCATTGTCTGTATTTTTGGTAGTGTTCAATTTTGTTCATTGTGGTAGCTGAAGCTAGAATCCCTAGTTTGAAAAAATATTTGACTAAAGCAATTGACACCTCTCCATCTTATGCTTCTCATGTATCTCGAGTATCTCCTCATAGAAGTAATTCTGGCTGAGCTCTTATTTTTGCTACTGCTAGCACTAGAGTTGTTGATTTCAAGGCCACTTACCATATGATTAGTAACTCATCCTTAAATCGCTCAAATGGTCACATGATAAGTTTGTTCAAGTTGCTAATTAGGTTCCTATGCCAAATTTCAGGGGCTAGGAATGTCTCACTCTCTCCCACTCTATCTATAACTTCTATTTCATATGCACCTACTCTCTCTTATAGCCTTTAATCTATTAACAAAATCACCAAGCACCTTAATTGTTTGTAGCGTTTTACTCTATCCATTGTGTGTTTCAGGACAATGTAACGAAGATAACGATTAGCACTGGTAGAGAAAGAATAGGTCTTCACTACTTGAATGGGCAAGTGAGTTGCAATCAGAATGTGGTAGAGCTCTTATTTTTTCTACTACTAACACTAAAGTTATTGATTCCAAGGCCACTGACTATATGATTAGCAACTCATCCTTGATTCGCTTATATGCTCACATGTTAAGCTTATTCAAGTTGCTAACTGGGCTCCTATGCCAAATTTTAGGGGCTGAGAGTGTCTCAGTCTCTCATACTCTCTCTCATGGCCTTTAATAGATTAACAAAATCACCAAGCATCTTAATTGTTCCGTAGCATTTTACTCTATCCATAGTGTGTTTCAGGACAATGTAACGAAGATGACATTTCGCATCGGTAGAGAAAGGAAAGGTCGTTACTACTTGAAGGGGCAAGTGAGTTGCAATCAGAATGTGGTAGAGGTTTTCAAGTAGTGTTGTAAAATATTTGCTAGGGAGAAAATTGTGCTATGACATTGCCATTTAGGACATCCATCTTTTTTCTTATATAGAATGTGTGTTTCCTAGATTGTTTCAAAACATCTCTACTTCTACTCTACAATAGTGTGCCTTTTAAAATTGTTGTTAATAAAAATTCGTTTTCTTTTACTTGCATTAACATTGATGTTTGAGGACCCTTCCCTACTCTGTTATGTCAGGTCATAAATACTTTCTATATTTTGTTGAAGATTGTTTTAGGATGAGGTAGGATGGACTGGATAGGTAGGTTTGTTGGAATCTCAAAGTGATGTCATACATGTTATTCCTCACTATTTTTTAAATGATTGCCATCCTATTTAATTAATGGTTTCGAGTGTTTCATTCTGGCAACAGTTGCTAATTTGTGAATCAATTTTTAAATAACTTTTTTCACAAAACAAGGTATCCTTTACCAGAAAACATGTGCCTACATACCACAATATAACAACATAGAAGAGTGTAAGAATAAGCCTATCCTAGAGGTGGGAAAGACCTTATGCTATATATACAAAATATATTTGGGCTGAAACTATCACGACTGTAGTCTTTCTTATAAACTACTTGCATGCTTGTATTATTGACTAGGTATGTTGTCATGATTTCGATCGATTCTCTGGGCCAGAAATCTCAGTCCTAAATTGTTTGGTTGCAAATGTTATGTTCGTTGCATACTAAGCTTAGGGATAAGCTTGATCTTTGCGCTCTTAAATATTCCCTTTATTCTTCTTTAAGAGAGATTAGTAGTAAGTAAGAGGAACGAGTGTCGTGTCGGAATAAGAGGTTGTGGATATTGGGTAAATAGAAACTAAAATTAGGAGTGAAAGGTCACCAGGTGGTTCCAATATACAAGGAGAAAATATGAGGATACTATTGAACTCCCTCCAAACTCGTATCATATTGCTGGAACCTCACCAAATTCTGACACTTTCCTTGATGATACTACAACACAATAGGATGATTCCTCCACAATTAATCAAGAATAAAGGTGCAAAGATAGGCGGGAATCGACTTTAAACTGCTAGGC